ATTCCTGCTTCAGTGTGTGGGTCATTTAAAATTACTATTATTGTCATGTTCTTATCCTTCCCGCACAATTTATGTAGTGGAGGCAAATACTAGAATTATTTTGGTGAGTTTTAAAGTTTTATTAGATGTGTCTTGTTTGTATTGCTTCTCCTTGGGTAAAGACATGGAATCCAAGTGGACAGAGCTCAGAAATATGAATAATGTTTAATAAATTTTAAGTATTTATAAATACAAACCCTACAGTCAAAGAGCACATATGAGGATGTTGCATTAAAATTTAGATATTTCTTCTGTTTATCGATGTAACATTGCAATTTACAGTACTGATAATTCTCAGAAAATTTAATCTCTTATTGCTGGATAGAGGGTTTCTTGTTGTTTTGTTTGGGTTTTTTTCCATTAAAATTACTTTCATTGCTGCTGATTGAAAGGTGAACTGTAAGTTTGGAACATGATGGCAGGATTGAGCTGCTAGCCCTGGTGCAGACTGGGTAATCAAGTTTTATGTTAAATTTGCATCTTAATCCTTATTTAGCTTGTATTTGTACCGTGTATATCCCTATTGCAAAGGCAGGAGGCTTAGTGTTAATAGTTAGAGGAGGTGTTTGCTATCTGTTTTGACCTCATGACACACATAGTGATATGCTTAATGTGACATGACGGTATCAGTTTATATGTGATAATGCATGTAGATTTTGAACTTTGCATTCTAGGATTACTATTGCTTGCTTGACAATTTTATCTTTGTTAAGGTTGGTGGAGGGAAACTTGTGAAATGCTGTTCTTTCTTTATGCTTTTGAGTTAAAGTCATTGTTTAGTTTCTCTTTGTGTGTAGGCTAAAAAAAGACTCTCTGAAAATGCTACTCTCTCAGTAGCACCATAATAAGCATGAGCTTATTGAGCATAGCGCAGTTGTCCTGTTTGAGGCATTAAGTTTACCATAGGTTTTTCTTCCCTTAGATTGAATGCCAATTTCAAATGTGGTTGTAAGCCACCACCCGCTTTGGAACTCTGATCACTTCATGACTGAATATTTAACTTAATCATAGCTTTTGCTTCCAGTCAGGACATAGGCATTTCTTTTCCTTTGGGGGTAATATGAAAGCCAGACTGCAATGGCTGCTAGAGATTGTGCACATCGTAAGGAATGTTGCCTGCAGTAATGACTTTATGCA